CGTCAGACGAGAATGTTTTGACGAAACGTTCCGGCGCTATGTAGCAAGTGCGGCGTCTGCTGGTGTCAAAGAAATAAGTGTAATCGGCGGGATTGTCTTCCGGGAGGTAAGTTGGCTTAAAAGATGCGAAATCCGAGAGTAAAACCCAATTCCAGGAAGTAATCAATATATTCTCCAACTATCGAAATCGAAATGATTTACATATATTCATATATAAATAAAGCGTTTGTTTACCAACCTTAATGTCACCGTGACAGATCTTTTGCTTGTGACATTGGTTCAAAGCACAAAGTATTTGAAAAGTGATCCATTTCTTTTCAAGGGTTGTGAGAAAAGGGCGCGTAGAGACACGGTCATACAAGCTGTGCTTTACATATTCACGCGTTATGTATGCGGCTTTATCAGTTAACTAATTTAAGCAAATATAATGTTAAATACGCCCAATAATTCTACCAAAGATTTGTCAATCTTATCTTGACACTTACCTCTACTCTCTGAAAAGGTAGGCAATTAACAGCATTTGCTAGGGACTTTTTTATGTACTCAAGACGTTCCTTATGATACTCTAGTGGTAAAGTAGGGTCATGTCTCACAAACACTTTCACCACCACTAAACCTTCCTCTGATTTTGCCTTGGCCACTTTGAAGAAACGAGTACTTCCCATGCTATACACAAATTTTTTGATGAAAATAATTCCATGGTTAAACACTTTGTGTTATTAAAATTTTTTGCATTAACATTTACTTTGATTCGAAAACAATTTCCGTGCCTGAGAAATAATGATCCATAGGGTATATTTGGGATGGGGCTATACCCACCAGCTGGTTACCCATTTCGACGTGTTTAACTTTACAACAGTTGTGATTTAATTTATTTCACTTTCTAAATGATTTTATTAAAAGTAATTTCTTTTATAAGGGTAAAAAACCACAATATACCTCTGAAAAAATTCTACAAAGCAGTTGTGCGAAAAATGTTTACTTGCTTAACATTTATTTCAGCCAGCTGTTTCTGTAGGCGAACAGAAAAAAGTAATAGATTCACAGCAATAACAAAATGATAGAATTGATCTTTGAGGGAGCCATATCGTTTTATGAAACTGCGGAAAAAAGTGTCAGCATTGATGTAAAGAAAACGAACAGCGCATTTTAATGCAAATAAAACTGTAAATATATTTTAATTTTTAGTGTCTATATCAGTTTTATAATATACATATATTGTAACCATTGAATTTGTGTGGCACATATGTAAATAAATGCAGAGGAAATGTTAAGCCTTCAAATAATATATGTGATTTTGACAGGGTGTTAAGAAGTAAAATTACCAGCAAAAAATTGTAGCGCAGCGCAGAATTATGGACGAGACATTTGTAACAGACGCGCGTCCTTTACGGGGCATCTCGACAGGATAGAATTTATAGAATACTATCTGCATTGCCATGCCGATTGCCTGTGGGGACTCTACATTGCTCATAACTTACTAGGTATAGAATACTATCTAGTTTGCCATATATCGTAAGCTATGAGCTGTCACTTCAACCGTTTGGCAGCGCAGTTTTCATTTCTATGAAAATTTCGAAGAGGCAACATATACCATTTGTATAGATTGTAGGATCTTTATCCTTTTTTTATTTTCCACAAAAATGATTTAAGGAGTTCAAGAGCTCGAAACGTGCACTACATCAGCTACCTACCCGACGGCATTTCGCAAATGATAAAATAAAAATTTCAAGAGCTAAAAGCATGCGCTACATCAGCTCGGACCTACCTACCCTACGCCTTTGCGCAAATGATTATATCATGCTAGCAAATGGCCACATACAGATTTGGCAATGACAATAGCAATAAGTTTGACAGTTAGTATTCAATAAATTCTATCCTGTCGAGATGCCCCGTTATGAATGAATTTGTTGTCCTTTTAACAGTGAACATAAAAATATGGAGACAAAAACACGGTGCAGGCTCGTACATTTGTAAAATTTTAACCAGGGAATTCACCTCACAACGATGCAATTCAATCCGTGAAATTTTAACATTGTTTACAAAAAAAAAAAAAAAAAAAAAAAAAATTACAGTTCTCTCACATACTCACCCTGAAATATGAAGAGAAACGAATATATGTATTTAAGTCATATAATGATAGCATGTATGTCCAATCAAGGAATATTGAAGAAAAATATGATCTTTTATATTCCATTTTCAACAGCGAAAAATGTGTACAAATGCAGCTCTCTCACATACTAAACCAGAGAATATGAAGAGAATTAAAGATATGTATGTAAGCTCGAGATATGATGATATTCCCACGAATGTAAAAAATTTTGTTTTGCAGTCGGCATTTTTATACTCACGTTTAAATTTTTGTTTCCAACCAGGGAATCGCTTGTATGTGAAATGTATGTCTCTTTGCTCTCTGGTCTAGATATCATCCCTGGTGCTGTTTGTATAGCACATTTCTTCAAAGTCCCATCACTTAAATATATTTTTTTATTACATTATTTTTTAAATCTACTTTCTTTATTTTCCTCATTATTTAGATTTTCTTGGAATAATTCAATTAATTTTCTTTTTGTTACTCTAGATTTCCTTGATATGTACGCCAATATCTGCGAATTTTAACGTTCTCCCATAATAATAATTATTTAGAATCTCTGATTTAACATTTGCACCTTCTCTGTATATCAACATTCTTGCCAACACTGTATATCAATGTTGTGTGACATCTCTTGGTCGTTTTTGAGTGTAGAATGGAATAAAAAGAAAACTGTGGTTTGATGACCGGACCGCTATTATTTCATAATTCAAACGTCACACATTTTAAGAAAAACACAAATTTGTGGATTAATTGCATATTTTGAGATTAATAATTTATTTAATGTTCTTTGATATTATATACATTATTCTGTTTCTTTGCTCTTTTCTGCTTGCATACGCACTAATACAAGTTAATTATGTTTTGTTTATTTTGTCTCAATTGCTTTATTGTAACTATTTTGCTTTATTTGTTTTTGCTTGCTATGAATCTTTAGTAATGACACATTTAATGCTTTAGCCATAATTGTTATTGTGCTTGTTGTCGTGATTTATTTATTTTGAAGCATATATGTATGTACATACATATATGAGCATCTAAAAAACTATACTAAAAAAATAACAACAAATTTATTAAATACTAGCCATGTACTTACAATTGATTTTTTTTTAAATATATATGCATAAATACATTCTCGTAAAATTAGTTTTTTAGTGGCTCTTAAAAAGACAAATTTCATCAAATGTGTACAGTGGAAAATGGTTGAAATTTAAATTACTCGATTTGGGATGCGTGCACCATTTTGAGAGCTATATTAATATGTATATGTAGCCAAATTAAAAGAAAATTGGTAATTAATATAAATGTAACAAAAATAATAAAAACAAATTCTCAAAACATTAGAATTTTGAGCATATTTATATAAAAATGTTAACGAAACATTTTATTCAATAAAATATATTACAGCAAAAAGAAAAATTAAAGTTGTGCACATAAATGTAAACTAATAAATAATTTTTGCTTACATTCTTCGTTTATTTCATTATTTGTCTGCGCGTTTTATGTTAAAATTTTTATTTTTCCGCCAAAAATTTATGTTTTCGCATTTATGTTGTATGGATCTTTCTAAATCGGCGTATAAAACCCCAAATATTTTGTCTGTGTTTATTTGTTAATTGTGTACTATTGCATTTGATTAACCATTGCTTTTGATTATTAGCATCTTAAATACATTTAAATCCATTTTTATTGTGTTATTATCATTTTCTGTTACTCATTTCTATTGTTTTTAATTTTTTTTTGTTTCTCATTTCTATTTTTTATTATTTTATTATTAGTTTTTCTGTTAAATTTATTTACTGATACTGCATATTATTTATGTTTTCAACTACAGCTACGTTTTTACTGTTCTAAGCTTCTTCAATGGCTTAATGCTAAATATTTTATATTAATTTCTGTAAAACTAAATAAAAATGCAACAAAAACAATTTATTTATAAACAAAAAAGATTTGCATAATATAAAATGTTAAATTTTCAAAACAAGACTTATGTAAACAATTCAGAACTATTGTTAAAAACTATATTACTCACTTATTCATAGCTTTTTTACGTATTTTGTGTCTATCATATTTTTTTTAGCCATAAATGTATACATTTGCTGCAACAAAAAAGTATATTATCTGCTTTTTTTGTAGCTACATATTTATATTTATGTTGCTTGTATATATTCAAATAATAATTTATGTATCTCTTCATTTGTTTATTGTCATTAGCATTAACTGAAATTCTATTGTGGCATTATTGAAAAAAAAATATTTTTTTGTTTGCTTTTATAGTGCTTAAAATATTTATTGAAAGCAAAAACAATCTGTTAGCAGTGTTTTTATTTTGTAATGTTTTGCAAGCATTAGCATGTTTTGAACGCCTCAATGGAAAGCGTTAAGAAAAAATATTTCCTTTTTTATATTATAAATAATTTTTAATTTTTAAACTTACATTTTACATTCAACTTACACACTAAAGTCAATAACTAACGAACAAAGTATTTCTTATAACTTTGCTTTCAATTTGTACAATTACAATTCATAAAATACTATTCCAGAAGGATGTTCTTAAAGAAACATACTCATTTATTGGTTGTGCTTAAACTATACACTACAACTATAAGAAAGTTTAACGAAATTTGTTGCAACAACTAAATCTTTACAAATTCATAAAAGCATAAAAGTATTTCCATAACATTCATTTTATCGCTTATCATAAGAGAAATATGATTTTTCAATTAAATGAAGTTTTTCGAAGCTGTTATTGTAGAGAAAATATACAAATTCAGGAAAATTAACATTTCACTTATGTATGTATGTACTATATTTTTGTTTCTATGTATGCATGTATGTATATAAAACTGTTTAGTAGCTCTGCACATATCTTATATACATACATATGTACATATATGGTAAATATCTATGTACTAAATACATACATTATTTTTTAAGCCGTAACAAACAACTTGAATGTTTATGAAATACATATAAATATATTTTATTTTTCATATTTCATATTCTTTATGATTATTTTTATACGCATTCATGCGTAAACGCCACATACATACATACATACATGTATGTGTGCCATAATGCGTTGCTCAATTCCTTTAAAACCGTCACTGCTGGGCTCAAGCTTCTTCGCCGGCGTTTACCACTCATTGCTCCGCATCTTTAACGGCGCCGCCCATCAGCTATTTGTTGTGTATGACAAGCGTGTAGGTTTGCATGGACCAGGAGACTTGTGCGCACGACTCCCCGTGTCATTTGCCCAGCGCCGAGAGCTGTTGCGTGGTGGCTTGTTGTGCCGACTGCGCCTGCGCGTGGTTGAGCGCCACTGCAGTGCCGGCTGTTGCTTTGTTGGGTGAAGTGCCGGTGGGTGCCGGTGCTGGCGCTATGCGTATTGGTTTGTTGCGTGGTGCTGTTGCTGTTGTTGGTGGTGGTGCGCCGAAGCTGTTCTGCGCGCTGGTGGTGGTGGATATGGCGTGTGTGGGTCCACCAGATGTTGGCACAATTGCATAACCACCGTTGGCTGTGGCTGCCGCAGCGCTGCCAGTGCTGCTATTGTGGTTATTGTTGTTATTGTGTAGACGCTGCATGGTGTTGCTGTGGCGCTTATTGCGATTTGGACTGTTCGCGTTGTTGTTGAGCGTTGTGCTTGTGGTCGACGAGGCGGTTGCCTGCTGCAATTGCTTATTGGCGGCTGTTGCGTTCACAAATGTTGTTGTTGTCGAAGTAGCTGAAATACGATCCAATTCGGTCATTGCTTCTTGAATGGCACGCTCGAGTTGTGAATTCAATTTTCGGCTCCTTTTTGTGTGTATGAATTTGTGATTTTTGTTTTGTTTTGTTTTTGTAATTTTGTGGCGCCCCACATGGGGAAATGTGTGGAGTGTGTTGTTGTTTCGATTCGTTTTGGGGATATTTGGTGGTGGGATTATTTGTTGTTGTAGACAATTGTTGGCAATTTTATTGTTGTTGTTGGTGGTGGTGTGGAGTTGGATACATTCAACATGTACACACACATAGACACATATTCACATGACACGTAAACAGCGGGTTGGAAGGAGTAGAAAAATTAATAAAAAAAAAAGAAAAAATCAATTAATAAGAAAGTAAACAGTTATTTTGCTAATTTTAAACGTAAAATAAGAAAAAAAATATTAAATAGTCTGAATTCGATAAATAATACTTTCGAATTTGGTATTGGCATATTTGCATATAAAATCTTAAAAAGCTCACAATTTAACTAAAAAGTGCATTCAACTTCGTAAAAGTAAAAATAAACTACAAATGGTAAAAAATACAGCAATAAGCAAATAGATAATTCTACTTCAGATGTAAATCAAAAAGTTTATAAATAGTAATGAAATAAAAATAAAAACCACGAAATAATAATAATTACCGTTAAAATTTATAATTTTTCAGCATTCCGGTTATAATCTTCTTACTTAAATACTTTATGTTTACAACAACACTGAGTGCAATTAAAAATAATTTACTAAAAAATCCTTAAATAATTATAATAAGCTTGAAAACATATTTCTATAATATAATAACAATATCGCTGCCGCAGAAAAAAAATATTATAAATTCCAAACGGATATCCATTTGTTGGTGTTTTTTTTCTTCTCTGAGCCATGGTTTTCATTTACTACCTAAGCAAAGCGCGTATTATTAAAAAAAAAAAAGATACAAAAAAATTTTTTTTTCGGTTGCTTCGAAGCACAAATACAAGAGTTTCCATACAAGAACATGTTTTTCATCGGTTAGTTTGTATGGTAACTTATATGGTAATTCATACGGGTTTTCTATAAATGAGCAGCCTCTTAGGAAGACAAAAACCTGCATAAACTTCAGACCTATACCTCTAAGGAAATAGGTCGCCTGTATACAGCTGTGTTCAAAATAATAATAGTGCCAGGAGGTCAATTTACGTACATCTTATAAAAAGTTTATTTGATTTTTTCTTTGTTGAAATTGAGCACGAACATAACAGAAACATTTATTTTACATATTATATGGCATTTACATGCATAAAACCGCAAAATTGTTCATTAACTATAATACAAATAGAATAGCTCGAAAATTCGTTGTTCCGAAAAATGGTGTACTACCACTCACATGTGGTTTAAAAAAGTAACTGAAACATAGGTAAATCTAAAAATTGTGTATAGACACAAAGAAATGGTGTTCAGTATTTGGTGAATAAGCCTCTATTGTCTAAATCTGCCTTCCAGCGACGCGGTATATAGTTGCCCAGACCTTTACAACGGGATTTAGGCATTTCCCCCCTAAGAAGTTTGTCTTTTCTACCTTTTTTCTTAATATCACGACACAGATTCTCTATGAGATTGAGGTCGGGCGCAGGCCAAGGCATGACCTCAATTCTTTTGCTACGAAACCACTCCTTGGTTAGTAAAATCTGGAAGGCTTATTTCAGAAACAATACGTATTCTGCTCAAGGTAACATTGTGGTATTCAAAATATCTACACATGTTTATTCATGACATTGTCGCTACTATATATGGGCCCAACAACATACAAATAAAAACATGCCCTAATATTTTTTTCATTTTAATAGTATTCTTAATAATATATTCTTTTTTTCTGCCCCTGCTTTCTGACATATTCAATAGCATTGGCTATCATTGCTGCAGTACATTCCAAGAGGTCTTCTATTTCCGAATAAGTTTTGCCCTCATTTCTTAATTTTATAATGAGATTCTTAAATAGCGGTGCTTCTCATTTACACGTACAATTACGAGTAAAATTTCAATGATATGACTCTAACTCACGCGCTATTATTATTTTGAATACAACTGTACATACTATACGCATGAAAATAGTTGAAGGAAAGGCATGCTTAGTTGCATTGTTCTACGTACTAAACGTGTGGGTTTCGTTGTATAAAGAGGAGTATTTCAAATTTTTCCATGTCGTCGATATATTTTTGTGTTTTTAGACGCATTAGCAGATTCAGGTAAGAAGAAGCAAAAAGATCTTGGGACAATATTCATCAGCCTTCTGTTATTTCTTCAATTAGGCGATTAGAGCAATCTAGGATTTTGAAAAAAAAAAATCGATTTTTTAGGATTAAAATACATGCTAGGTTCCCAAAACATGATACATCCGTTGAAAAGGAAACACATTTTTCTAGTTGAAGTCTTGAGGTATTTCAGCCTATGTATTAAGGCTTCAAATACATTTTATGGAGTTTTTCAAATCGTTAAACGATATTACCCGTAGACCATCGCATGTATTCAGTTTCAGAGTAAAATTTTATAGTAAACTAAATACGGTATCTTTGGTACTAAGGAGATCATGCCGTGTGACGGTACCAAAAAATCGATTTGTTTTTGCATAAATCCCATCAAGAGCTTTCATAGAATGTGCTGATGAAGTAATATACCGAAATTGAATGTAGCTGGAAAGTTACAGGAGTGAGAAAGTAAAGCCTTTAGAAAGGTGCCCTACATACTCGAATTTTCAAGTGTGTTTTCTCAAAACTACATTTTTTTAAAATGGCGTTCACGATTTCTCAAAAATGGTTCCATTGATTGCTGAAAATTTTTAATCATCACTAATGTGGCTATCGCCTAATTAGGAATTTTTTTTTTTGAAATATAAAACCGTTCATTAAAAAGTAGTCGCAAAAACTCAAGAAATTTTGGGTTATAATGTTAATAATAATAAATATCGCAATTAACAAAATATGTGTACTCAAACAAAACTCAAAATGACAGCTAAATATAAGATCTGTGTTTTTTCATTTCACTATAAAAATTCCGAAAAAACTGAAAACAAAACTTTTTTTACAAGTCCGCTATTTTGAGAAAATTGTTGCAAATCTAAAAAATATATAGATATTATATGAATACGAAGCAGAAGTAAGTTGACGAGAGCACGAGCTCATAGAATCGCTTAAGAGCTTGGATACCCTCTTGAAATTGCAGTTAAATGCGAAACAATTTTATTATACAATCCACAAAAGTTAGATTTCAATCATTCTTCGAATTAAAGGGTTCTAAACATTTTTTTTTTTTGTATTTTACCAAAGTAATATTTTACAAAAAAATTCAACAGATGAGAATAGAACTTCGTTTTTTACTCAAATATTTTTCGAATTGTCTCTTGAAGCCGTGACAAAGCTCTTTTTCATGAATGTCTGGTATACAAGAAGCAACACATACGCATATGACTCTAGTCACTTCTTGACCTATTTGAGAACGCTGCATATCGGGTTGATTTTTATGGCATATTTAGGAGAAACGAGCACTTCATTTCCAATGTCAAAATCACACCTATATTATAGCTAGCCCAATTAGTAGACTGTTAAAATCTTAAACCTGAATATTCGTTTAGAAAACACACGTTATAAACTTCGTATGCTAAGTACCGTAATAAACCTTTACAAACTAACTTATGGTAAGTGCTCACTTTCTAGTATCCTTTTGCGCTTTGTGATGCGCCTCCAGACCATCAGACAGACTGTGTAACGAAGTGATCGCTATCAATTCGGTTATGATACGACCACCACCACTGAACCATTGCACCCAAACAGCTGGTTCACCATTAGCGGTTTGTGATGGCTCATCCGTTTCCACATTCACCACCTTGCCCGGCCAGGCGGGATAACCGCGCGATGGACCCCAAATCAATTCACCAATTGCAAACGTGAGTGTTGCTGTTGCCACCGTTGCCCCTGCTGTTGTTGTGATGTGTGTTGTTGCCGGCACCGCGGTGCTGTCAGCAGCCAATTCTGCGATGTTGGTGGCCGTGGTGCGTGTGGTGCGTGTGGCACGAGCGCGTAACAGTTTGTTTGGCGACTTTTGTGGCGATTTACGGTTGCCTAGGTTGTTGGTTGTAAGTGTGGCTGGTGGTGGTGGTGTGGTTTTGGTTGTGGTTGTTGGCGAGTTTCTTGGTGACTCTACGAATTGATGAGTTTATTTAAAACAAGTTATACTCTCAGCAAATGTGGGCCTAATTATCTTTAATATTTATTTTACGATGAATTTTAATGGCTGAGTTAAATACAAGGAGTCTTGTTATCTTAACTCATCGTAGCATATGATGTGATGGTATATTAATTTGCGTTAATCGACAAACAGATGAGGTATGAATGTAAGTTGCACGAAACATGGAATTTTACTCCGTATAAAAGCCATCACCAGTAGCCTCTTGTTTAGTTAGACATATTAAACTGAATTTATATACATATTTGTTGGTGTTGTAATATGTGTAGTAAAGCCATTAGCCATTGTATTAATCACAAGTATGAGTGGTTTGAGTTTGGCTGGTTGAAGTGTACCCGAAATGTGAAAAATTACAGTATCTTCGCAAGTAGTCCGGAAGTATTCTTATGTATGTATATGTAAATTAACGAATTTTCTTTTACCTACAGATATTTAATATTTATATATACAGTTATAATCGGATGGAGTAAAAGCCGGAATTTTTTACAGTTAATATAAAATATATGATGATTATAAACGAGAGCGTTAAGTGTATGTATGTGACAATCGAAGAGATGAACAGGAGTCTAAGACGCGCATCATAAATTCGAACAAATGTTCGTAAAAAAGCCCTTCCAGGCCCGGGAAGGCTATCAACATTAACAAATGATCAACTCGTCAATTAAATAAAGGAATTGCTGTTTGATTGTCAACGGTTAACAGTCAGAGTTCTTACTGGCTTCATTGTATTAATGAAAACCATTTTGAAGGATCATTTGGGCCTAAGAAAAGTGAAAGCACGATTGGTTCCCAAATCACTCATTGCTTTGAAAAATAGTGGCATGTTAACTTCTGTGAAACAATGCTTTCCAACTACCAAGATATCATGAGACGTATTATGATCGAATATCGTGGCGAAGGAGAGCCGAAGCAGTTCAAAACTCAAGGTTATGTTGACAGCTTTCTTCGATTATTGAGGTGTACTTCGAATTCTTTCTGACCGCTGAAACTGTAAAGTACCAATACTATTTGAGTGGTATGCGTCGTTAATTATGGGCCGACAACTCTTGGGTTTAGCACCACGATAATGCAGACATTAAACGTGAATCACTACGCGCATTGAAGGCTTTCCGGAAATTGGCTTTAAGAACTGTTTCGAGGATTGGAAAAAATGTTGACATAAGTGAATTAGAGCCAAGCGGGGATTACTTTGAGGGGAACGACATAGATTTTTAAGAATAAATGAAGAATTTTAAAATTATTAACAAAGTCTTACAATTTTTTGCTCATTGTAGTATACATAAATATGCCACGAAAATGATTTGATGACTTCAAACCCGGTCCGCGCTACAAACGCCGCTCAGATAGCTTTAAACTCGATTTCTCCGAAGAAATTATTTTTTACCGATTCTCACAAATCTAAACAAGATATTCGAAAACTGTTAATTATTACTGAGTTTTCTGGATATTCGGTTTTCTACAATTATTTTCGTTTAAACAAATTTGGAAGATATTCAAACATCCAAAAATGATTTGATCGAAAATATATAGGTTTAGGAAATCACGATCTTCAAACCCGGTCCGCGCTGACTATGAACGTCACTAAGTTAGCTTTAAACCCGATTTCTCCAAAGAAATGATTTTTTATGTTTTAGTACGATTATAACAAATCTTGTAAGTTATTCTAAAAATATAAATTGTTACTGAATTTTTTGAATATTTTTACAGTTATTTTCGCTTGAAAATGGTCACAAAATGCAATTTTTTAAGTTGCTGAAAAAAGGCAGATTTTCAAATATCCATAAACCCATCATATAATGCTGACTATATAATTCAGAATTAACAAAATCAAAGGTATTCATTATGCTTTTGAAATCTTCAACACGAACCGTTAGCAATATTTATAAAACCCTTAACTTGTAATGTGAAGTTAATTCAGCAGAAATATAAAATCAGCACAGAAAACGTAATTGAAAAGCTAAATAATTGACTTCCGCAGAGATTTTATGTATGTATGTATATATATGTATCCACGATGGATATTATTTAAACATACAAACATTAGTGACGAAATGTGTAATATTGCCCCCATTGATGTTGGAAGCAGTAAAAGTGGAATCGTAATTGAGGATGAAAGCTTGCTTTTATGGATGCCCAACTGCGTCACATATGAACATAACTTACTAAATATATACAAATACGTATATAAATATACATATGTATATATATATAAACATAACTGTGTATAGTATTTTTGATTCGGAAGCAAATTCAGTTACTTGCTGGTTATTATGTTTACACAGTCTGGTTTACAATGCCTCAAAGGATGATCGAATTATTTGGTAAATACATTTGTTGCCAACATACTTATATAAGGATATGCATAATGAATACATTATGTTTTTCAAGCATTATTAATGCAATAAGTACCATTTAAGTGCAGAGAATTACGCTGCTCTTTGGTTGCACGTGTGGAGTTGCTAAAAATAATCCAACGAAGATTACACGTATTTTTTATATATGTACATACATACATATGTAGATATATTGATGTTATGTATGTGTATTGCCACTTAACCGAGTAACATAAAACTTAATGACTGATTATGGTTTAATAAGGCAGTTTGTAGCACATAGAAGGAAGCTTTGGACACCCTATAAAGTACTTAGGCTTGCCATAAATTCTTTTATATAAGTGTGGTAAAAGCGTAAGAGAAATTTATGAGCTTTTCAAAAAATTAAATTTCTAAAATGTTTGTTTATCGCATTTTTGGTCGTTTTTTTTTCAAATGTTGCCTAGTTCGCATTAGCTCAGCCATAAAAAGTATTCGGGAAAACATTTGTAGAAATCCCCTTTAGAAACTATAAAAGTATGATATACATAGGAAATTGATATATTGACCAAATCGGTGTCAAGACTTATTCGAGATGACCTCCCCATAAAAACCTACCGTCGACCAACTGGTCAATATTCTTTTTATAGATGAAAATTTTTCACCATTGAGAAGTTTTTAATAAACAAAATGACAAAATGTACGAAAATATTCGTACTTCCAAAGACTTACACAACTTTTATTCCAAAGGTCTAATATTCTGTTATGATTTATTGGGTAGTTTTCCAGAAAGGCAGTACATCTCTTAATTTCTGCGAAAAAAACTTAAAACTGGGGAAAAATTATAAAAGCAGGATGTTTTCAAGGCATGGCAAAGCAGTTGAGCAATACTCTCTTCAATGGACAGCACTGCGTCTTCTAGATCTACTTGTATCTTTTTACTCCAGCACACAAGGCCAAAACCACCAGCATTGGTTTAAAAGTAATATTTCTGTTTTCATGCATGATTCGCTGATTGGAAGTCCAGATTTGAATCTATTGGTAGTTTTAGTTGGAGTAAATGGCATTAGTGGTTTGGAAGTGATGTAGATGTATCCAAACGACTTGTAAGCAAGAATTCGTTGATAAAATGGAAAGAATTAATATGGATAATGGGTTAATGAAAGATAATAAGGTTACTAGTATAAAGATGCCTTGGCAGAGTAGGAATGCTTGGTCAGTAATAATTAAGTTTAATAATCTGTTTACTGTGTGTCGCTGCTATTCACAGTCATCGGCATGTGTGATTTTTTAAAAAGAAATATTTGAAGAATATCGAGTGTTATAACTTAGGCTTTAACGTTTTATGTTCTTCTAGAAGAAGTAAAAAGGAATGTGTAGAAGTTCGCGCAAGTAAAGAAAGTTCTCTGAGTGGCCAGAAATGATTATTTTATATATTGCTCAAGCAGCTCACGACTTTCGGTTTGAGACCAAGTATCCTCTGGGTAGCCAAAGATTATCTGTTTGAAGGCGAACCATCCCCATAATCACCCAGGGTTGTGCGCTCGGTTTGCGAATGCCCCCAGTGAAAAGGAAACAACAGCCAGGGGTAGCACCAAATCCGTTAGGATCGGGAAGGGCTCTTTCGATTCGTTCGATACTAAACGAAGTTTCAGACAAGGCGACTCCTTGTCGTGTGACTTCCTCAATCTACTGCTGTAGAAAATAATTCGAGCTGCAGAGCTGCATAGAGAAAGTACAATCTTCTACATGACTGTACAACTGCTGGCGTACGTCGTTGATATTGATATCATTGGCCTCAACATTACTGCCATCACGTCAGCTTTCTTCAGACTGGAAAAGGAAGCGAATCAAATGGGTCTGGTAGTGAACGAGTGCAAGACGAAATATCTCCGATCATCAAACAAAGACAGTCATAACTTCGAAGTCGTAGATAGTTTCGTCTATCTTGGAACCAGTACTAACAGCAACAACAATGTCAGCCTCGAAATCCAATATAGAATAACTCTTGCCAATAGGTACTACTTCAGTATGAGTAGGTCTTTCGACGAACAAAAACCAAACTCTATATGACCCGTCCTGCAATATGGCGCAGAGGCATGGACGATGACAACATCTGATGAGTCGATGTTACGAGTTTTCGCGGGAGAGGTTCTGCGGAAGATTTAGGGTCCTTTGCGCATTGGCAATGGCGAATATCGCATTCGATGGAACGATGAGCTGTACCAGATATACAACGACATTGACATAGCTCCAGCTCTGAAAGTATTCGACGTAGTACCCGCCGGGGGAAGCAAAGGAAGATCTCTACTCCGTTGGAAAGACCAGGTGGAGAAGGGCCTGGCTACACTTGGAATCTCCAATTGGCGCCAAACAGGGAAAAGGAAGAACAACTGACGTGGTATTGTAAACGCGGCTATAACCGCGTAAGCGTTGTCTACGCCAGTAAGAAGAAGAACAAACAAAAAAAGCCACGTAGAAAAATGTATGTATAAATTAGAGAGTTGGAGATTAGTTTGCAATTTTATTGGATAAAATCACGTAATCACCGACCTAAATCACACATATTCCTTCGGCTCAGACGTTGTTTGCGGAACGATTTTGCACTAAAAGCGTAGATTACACATGTACCGTTAATAATACATGAGTAGATACAGAGTTACAACAAAGAAAAAAGTCACCCATGTTATGTAAATGGTAGGTATATACATATATATGTGTGTACATATAGCTGTACTTGTTTATGGTTAAATATTGACATGCATTAGTTATTTAAGAGCATAAGGCGATGTGACGTGATTTCGCTATAATGCCGCAAGCACATCGAGAAATTTAATGATGAAGAAAAGCTACGAAAATGAACACAAATACAATAATAAAGCAAAAACGGAAAAATATGCCAATCACCGTTAAAGGTTAAGGAAACGAATATAAGGAAAGTGAGTCAGGATATTTCCAAACACATACATGGATGTAGGTGTGTTTTAGTAGTAGCTCGGTATTAATGTGTGTATTGATACGTGTTAGATTACTAAATATGGTAATGTTATGTATGAAATGTGATATTTTCGCCATTCGTTTTATTAGTAGGTTTTTAGTAGAGCGCAAAAATTCAATTCCCAATTACAACAAGGATAACAAGGATATCAACAATATGTGCATACAAAATGAGATCTGATACGCTGTTAACAGTAATACAAAAAAAAAATTATAATAATAAACGAATGCATGAGTTGTAACTGATGTGACAGCGCTGCGCCAACTGATTAGCGAGGACACGGCGTACGACTGACTACTTACCGTGCGAATCGGGCTTCATTACAATGTCCTGGTGGAGAGAATGATGTTGCTGCAGCTGCTGCTGTTGGTGCTGACGTTGATGGTGCTGCTGTTGTTGTTGTTGCTGCTGTAGCTGAAGTGTAGTGGCCAAAGCTGTAGATGTTGCGGCTGAGGTGATGGTAAAGCCCACGCCACCGGCTCCAGCTCCACCGCCGGCATTCATAACACCGCCACCTGCGCCCACGCTCTGCGGCGGTGTCTGTACGCGTCGTATTTTCGCTTCTGACGGCTTGTATATGCTTGTGGTTTGATATGCGCTTGACATAACAAGTCCTGATTGAGCATGATGGCAACACAAACAGTAGCCATGGCGATGCGGCAGGCGGCAAAGGGTGAGGGAAAAAATAAAAAATGGAAATTTATTTGAAAAGCCGTTGCAATGTGTCGGCGAAGAGCGTTGAAGCGAAAGAGAATATTTACTGTTACGAAAATTCATAAATTGATATAAGCAAATAAACAACGCAGACATTCATATACCTATATTTGTACATACGTACTATATACCTACATATATTTTGTACAAAAGCATATTATAAGGTAAGTGTGTGTGTGTGTGCTGACGTGTTTGCATCGGCAAACTGCTATTGGTTTTGTCAGCATGAGCCAGCGAAAATTATCGCAAATCCGTGCGGCAACCAAAGTGCTGATGTTTCATTCTTGCCTCTAAGACGCTTAGCTCTTGCGCCTTTCTTCACTGTCTTATGTAACTTTTACGGCAATCAAATGTATTTGAGGTTGATTGCGGCCGGGATAATCGTATAATAACTGCGTCGGTACAAACATATGTATGTATAGAGAAATTTGAGCCCGTTTGCTTAATGTAGCGCTTAGCCCAAGCTTTTGCGCTTTCACGGCTGCGACAGTGGTGGTGGTGTTGGTGGCTGTGGCATCTGCTAATAGAGCGTACAATTTACGAGCCTACTTATTTTTAACGATTCTTCGCTTCATGCTTATCTTCAACCGCTACTGCCACTCAGTGCTTTGTGCTTTGGCCTTTCAGCCCCGTTCAACGTTGCCTCCTCGCGCATTGTTTGCTGTTTGCGCCTATTCAGCGCGCCCTTAGTATGGTAGGAGAGTAGGTTGCGTGCGCGTATAAATGTCGATTGGAATTTAATGTTGCGTTTAACGTCTTGATTTCTTCATCGACTGTAAGTAGCATAAAATGTGTGATATCTTTCCCCACCTCACCCCACCTGCTACAAGTCTTTTGCGCACTGTGTGTTTCACTGTGCTTCAAAAATATGTTCGATAAGTTCGGTTTTTTTTTTGCCATTTATGTGTTTCTATGTATGTGTGTTTATCAGCGTAGCATAAAAATGCCCGAAGGATGTTGCATGATACATATTTTATTGGTTTCTCCTTTGCATTGCTACAAGGCGTGCGTGCTTTTTGTGCGATTCCATTGCTTTCATTGTGCTTTTGCCCCGTCCAAGCGCTGTCATGTCGATTTTTAGCGAATTATTGCCTTTTGGAAAATGCGTCAGTGTGTGTGCGTGTCTGTCATGTGGGCTTGTGTGGTTGCGTGGGCGCGTGGGCGTGCGAGTCGATTGTAAGTGGTTAACAGACGATTTTACGAGCGCATTAGGTGTCCATTTTAAAACATTTTATGCTCGCGCTATTCGAATTTAATACCGTTTTCGCCATTTTTATGTAAAAGGTGACGAGATATTGTAAATATGTTTGTACATATTATATATGCTATGCTATTTCGGCGCTTACTGTACGAAGGTGTGCACTTGTAACACAATACTTTTGATACTCTTATGAAAAATAAGGTTAGGTAATTCATTTTTATGACGCCAAATCATATGTTGAAAGCTATTAAACGTTGAAAATTTTAATGGTTTGCACCGGTCACATGATTAAATTTAGCTTCTTGCGCAATTTTTCAGATATGAATTTTTCGGTTCTTCTTCTTCAGTTGAACTCAAATCCCAGTTTAAATGCAAAAAAATGTAAAACACCTTAATCAAGTGAAGCTTAAGCAGATTTGTGATGACTTCAAGGCGCTTTATTGATAACGGGTTTATCAATAGGGACGCTACGAAAGGATACCGATAGCTATATTTTTTACCGCACTTTTGACATTTTTTTTAGAAAGGTATGCCATTTCATCATGGAAAGATATACGATCCAATAACGAGTCGAGATTTTTAAACATTTACATTTGGAGTCAGTGGCCTCAACTTTAAAAGCGCTACGTGCAATTTAATCGTCAAGTCAGATCAACAATTGAGCGTTTATGGGCCGGCCTTGTCATTGGCCGTACTTCTTCCGCTTTGATCAAGACCGCTAAGTTAATGTGAATGCTAATCGCTACCGCTTAATAATAGCCGAATATTTTAGGATGATATGGACTTGGACAATATGTGGTCAGGACGGCGCCATAAGCCACACAGCGAATGCTACAATCGATTTATTGAGAACCAAGTTTGGTGAACGTGTTATCTCACGCAATGGCCCAGTCAATTTTGCGCCTCGGTCATGCGATTTGACGCCGTTAGACTATTTACTGTGGGGCTACGGCAAGTCAAGCGACGATTGAAGAAATTTGTACGTACACCGAACGTGAAATTGCAACAGTAACGGCCGATTTATGCTTGAAAACCAACGAAAACTGGGTTCAGCGACTCGATCTCTGCAAGTGTGCCCATTATGGCCAAAAAGAAATCGAGAAATAAAGAATTTCATTTCCAAGTCTCATTTTACTCATTACACTTAGTGCTGCTGATTGAGATTCTCAATTTTCTCGAGAATATTCTATATGAAATTTTTTTCACGTTTTCCGCCGAGGTACTCGTTTTCGGGCAGATCGCGACTATGTTGAAACGCATTATGTAAACAAGTTTTTGATGGTCACCTTCGAAACATAATAGACACGGTATACAGCATCTAAGCGATTACTTTGATTTCACTATGAAATTGCGTTCAAAACGATTTTACTTTTTTTAACAGGAAAAGTATAAGAGCGCAAACAGCGAATTCCGCAAAATCGTGGCCCGAATCAGCTGATACGACCTATCTTATGGGAGCGCAATGTAAATGATCAGTCAATACCGCTTCTACCTTCCGCTTTACAGTAGGATACATAGATTTTCACGGTATTTGGATTTTTGCCGTGACAGCTGATTGCTCTCTCACAACGCAGGGTTGCCAGTAGTAATTATAAAAATTGTATTCAATAATGTTTGAAATTTTCTTAAACTAACTCAAATTCAGAGTCGAATGCTATTATTTATAAATATATAAACTATTTTTAATAGTTTGTTTCAGAAAACTTAGATGTGTACCAAACTTTACATGCGTATTGAGCAATGGCAATATTGTTCACATGAAAATAAATAAAGATGGCTGATTTCTACAGGCTCAACTTTTGACACATTTTGCTCGCTAAGGACGGCAACTGAGGAAGGGAATAGCGTTTTTCGCTGTTCCTGCTATAAGTTCGATTCTTGGGATGGTGGCTATAGGGCTAAGTAATTGTTGGACCTAACTAAAGGTTTGGTGAATCTGGTACTCTAAGAGCCATGCGATGATCAGTTTTGGTTCTTTGCGATACCAGATGGAGTTCAGTTACTTGGTCCATGAGAAGTAGTCATTTTAACAAACTCTGTGCCATCACTATCGATACCTCCTCCAGTGTGTCATACCATGGGGACCAGAGGTGCTTACAGCGTAGTCTTGCTAATGCGGGACAAGTGCACAATAGATTTTCCATTGTTATCCTGATGCCCTGCTCTAGTCATTTTCTGTACGAAAAGTATTACTTACTATAACGAAGGCAGATAGGATATAGGGAAAGTATTAAATGTCTCCACATATTCTACAAAGTTTCAACGTCCAGTTTTGATAATTTTTGGTTGGAATGTTTGTTAAATTGTATCAAAATTAATCCTGTTTCATATGTCTTAAATCTTCTTTTCAGAAGTTAACGCAGAAAATAAAGTATTTTTTGTTAATTTTATGGATTCGTTCAAAGTCTGTTTGCCTGTTGCCTTTGAGTAAATTATTGATTTTTAGATATATAATTTAGCTTGTGCTACACATAAATAAAGTAGATAAATAAAAGGGATATCAATTTATATTCAAATAGTATTGTACATGCTGGCATTCGTACTCATACCTTTCTCGGCGTCCGTGGTCGATGGAGACTGCCGACTGTCAGCACTCTGTGGCGAGGCGGCACCATCCGGTTCTGAGCTGGATACACATTGTACCTGCGAATGAAACGAATGGAAAGGGTTTAGTAATCGATTAAATGCAAACACATAATAATTTTTTTCAATGTACCATATCGCTGCCACCACTCCGATGACTGGGCGGGCGCTCTGGGCTACGTGGGCTATGGGTGGTGGTGTCCGGTGGACTGGCTGCCGCCGAACGCTGACCACCGCGACTTGACGAAGACAACGATGACGTGGTTGCTGACGAAGACGACGTGGCTGATTCCATAACGATGTGCTCAGAGCTCAGCATGGTTATATGTTGTTGTTGTTGATTTGAGTGTTGCTGTTGTTGTTGCTGCTGCATTGCGGCCGTGGCCGGTTGAATAGCTACATGATGATGGTGTTGTTGCTGCTGTTGTGCTGCCACGTGCTGCTGTACTTGCACCTGCGGCTGTGACTGTTGTTGCTGCTGCTGTTGTGCTTGTGGATGTTGCTGCACTTGTATGGTCGCATTCTGTTGCACGTACGTGGCTGTGCCGGCTTGCTGTTGTGCCGTCGGCATAACCAAACCCATTGGTGTCGAATAAATTTGTCCGATCGGACTCAATTGCCCATTGCTGCCGACAATGAATTGCTGTCCGGTGGCCGTGGGCGAAATGAACTGCTTATTTTGGGGTGAGGGTGTGCGCAACATCATTGTTGTGCCCTGCGGTGTGGTGGTGAGTATGCTCGGCCCGCAAGCGCCCACATTCTGTATTTGCAGCAATGTGGTGTCGGGTGCCATCACCAGACCGGTGGGCACAATTAATTGCTGCCCAATGAGATTCATTGGCTGTATGATTTGGCCATTCTGTAAGATGATTTGTTGTGGTTGTGTCGCTGTAGCGGTAGCTGGCTTATTGACCACAATGCCCTGTATGCCAGGGCTAAGTTGGAATTGTTGCTGATACTGTGGTGCAGCCGAAGCGATTTGTACAACTTGCGGCTGTGGCGGTGGTGGTGGTTGTGGCTGCTGTTGTTGTACGGCAACAGCTGCAGCGGCGGCAGCAGCAGCGGCTTGCTGCTGTATAATGGCTGTTTGGTTGGGTATAGTTGGCGAAATTTGTGGCGAAAGACTGGTGGTGGGCGTGTTGGCAGGCGAGACGCTGCCAGTGGAGTTCTTACGTTTCTTCGCACGTCTCTTCACATCCGGCGATGTGATGATAATGCGTTGTGTCTGCGTTTGCTGCTGCGTCTGTGGGCTCTGTTGGGTTTGTTGTACGTAGGCTGTAGTTCCATCGGCCTGTTGAACAATCTGACTTACCACCTGACCATCTAGCGTGGCAAATTGCTGCTGAGCAGGCTGCTGCTGCTGTTGTATAACGTAACCACCGTTGGGCAGCGTATTCAAGACGACCGCTTGTTGGCCGTGCAATAGACCGGTTGTAGCCGTAGCGCCGTTCTGTGTGGTGGTCAGCAGTTGATTGCCGGCAATTAGTTGCTGACCGCCAGCATGTATGATATTGCCAGTGTTGGCAGTTGTCGCCAACGCCACCTTTGTGCCATTACTTGTGGTTAGTATATTCTGACCAGTTGAATTTAAAATAACTGTGGCGGGCTGTAGTTGTGCAGTGGTCGTTGTGGCGCCGGCGGTGGTGGCTTGACCTACAATATAGCCACCTTGATGTTGATGCTGTTGTCCATTTTGCAGTATGATGCTGCCATTCGCGGTGGTCAGCTGCTGGTGACCGCCAAGTACTTCCAGCTGGTTCTGTGGGTGGTGCTGATGTTGGATGATAACGTTGCCGGTTGTCGTTTGTCCAGCGCCACTGCCTGCGACATTGTTATTGGCAGCTGTGGTGATCAGCAGTTGCTGCTGGCCTTGCGCTTGTTGCTGCTGCAATTGCGCAGTGGGCTTGCCATTTGTCGGCATAACAATCAATTGTCCCGTGGAGGTCATGATGATTTGACTTGTGGGCAGTTGTAGTGGAATTGTGTTGTTGGATTTCTGTACTGTGGTCTGCAACTTTTGCGGTTGTGGCGGCGGTGCAAGCGTCTCTGAATGCTGTTGACTGGCGCTAACTGTGACAGCTGTTGTTGTTGCGGCTGTAGTTGTAGTGGCGGTTGTTGTTGTAATGGCACGGCTAGCGGCAATGGATGTCAACGTATTGCGCGCAAGCGCTATGCGTTGTGGCTGCTGTTGCTGATGCTGTTGTTGTGGTGTCTGACGTATAATGCGTATCTGCTGTGTGTGTTGTTGTTGCTGTGGCTGTTGTTGTTGTACACGCATTTGGATCATCTGATTGGAGTTGGCATGCGACGTGTGTTGTTGTTGTTGCAATTGTTTTTGTTGTTGCTGCTGTTGCATTGGCGATGGCGAGGCGGTCATTTTGGAGGAAGAGGCGCGTGAGCTGCCCGACTCGACAGAATCGGCTGGAGATGGACATGGCAATGGACTCTCATTGCTTGTTGATATGGCACCGACCTGCTCTGGCCTTGGTGTATGACGCTGCGATTCGGGTGTGGAGCGCGCAAAGGCGGTGCTTGAGGAGACCGGCGATTCTTGAGCGGTTGGCTTCTGCGATTGCTGCTGTGATTGCGTTTGCTGTTGCCTGAAAACCATGTTTTGCTGCTGCATGAGTTGTATTTGTTGTGGTTGTTGCTGCTGCTGTTGTTGTAGTTGCAGCTGTTGCTGTGGGTGTTGTTGAGGCTTCAAAGTGAGCGTGAAGTTTGTGCCCCCGTCAGCAGCCATTGAGGTGGGCACCATCAGTTGACCGTTGATGGAAACCAGATTCATTTGCTTTAGCTGTTGGTTTTGCTGTTGTTGTTGTAGTTGCGCCTGCTGCTGTTGCTGCTGAACGTGTACTTGATTAGCAGTGACAATAATTTGCTGTGGTTGAGCGCCGATTTGTTGAGTTTTACGTTGTTGTAGCTGCTGTTGTTGCGCTTGCTGTTGTTGTGGTCGGTAAAACGTGGTCTCCTGCTGCTGATGCTGCTGCTGCTGCTGCTGCTGTATTTGTGTCTGATAGTGTGCCACACCATTCTGCACATAAACTTTCTTGGTATAAGTGCCTTGTGGTTTCTTATCAGCAATTGAAGTGCCTGTCGTTTCTTGCTGGACGCTTTGTTGTATTGTTATATTGACGTTGCCGTTGGCAATGCTGTTGTTGCCACTTGCCACATGCCTCAGCTTAATCTGGTTATCTTCCTCAGACACACTTTCATAGCCATCAGTGTCTTCTGCATCATCCCCATCATCCGCCATTTCTGTGTCATCCTCAGCACATGCGTCGGCATCTTCGAGCTCGTCGTCTTCTTCTTCTTCCTCGTCTTCCTCGTCGTCTTCGTCCATGGCAACATTCATCATTGAGCTGTGTAGCAGCGCTGTCTGCTGCTGCAGGTATCCTGTGGGATCATCTTTGAAATTCGGCTGCTGTTTCTTCACCGGCGAGGCGGGGGAGCGCTTTATGTAGCGCGTTGTGTTTTGTTGATGGCTCATGCCACTGCCGCCGCTTGCGGTCGTCCAAGTGGGCGTTGCCACATTGTTTTCTTCGCCAGCAATCGTGGTTATCGCATTTGTTGTTGTAGTAGCAGCTTGCGGCAATGGTGGCACACGTTCAGCATCTTTGCGCCACATTTTGTTGTCTGCGTTAAGTGAATTGGGCGTTTGTTGCTGTTGCTGTTTTATTTTGATGTCTGCATTGTTTGTCACATTCTTTATCACATTTTGCTGTTGCTGTTGTTGCTGCTGATAATGCACCTGTGCAGGCGGCATCATTTTATTAGGGTTTTGACTAGCTTGTTGTTGTACATTCGTGTTGCCTGCTTTTGTTGCACTCATATTGGCAGCTGCGGGCATTGGAGACGACGCTGCGATGCCAGTGTTGGCCATTTTGCCAAGTTTAATGTCTGCAAATGGGAGATAAATAGGGAAATAGTAAACATAAGCTGTTCTTAAGTAAAAGTAGTTAGGCATAACTAAATTGCTAGTTTAATCAGAGTTATCATTTAATATGAAAAAGTAAGTAAGTGAGCGCTTAGTTCGGGTGTAATCGAACTTTTTAAGCTCTTTCAATTTTCGAGGTCCAAAGGCGATAAAATATTTTCCGTTGTTGGCAAAACTCTATTTTCAAAGATGTTGCTAATGAATTCCGTATTTGCGGCTGGATAAAATTGTGTGGGGATTACAATGATGGAACCCGAAAATTGGTATCTTATTAACTTACACTATAGGTCATAGGCTCACTTAGTTTTATTACTATGTTCTGCCGATATATTTCTATTAAAATCAAAATTATTGACTGAAACGCAACATTATGTGATATAAAATCAAGTAAAGGGATTAAAATCTCTCGATTGATTTTAGGCACTTAGTTTTATATGCCCAAAAACTGGGCGCTTCATCTGATACAGATTAATTATTTTTTAAAATTATCATCTTGGTTAAGCCTTGCAAGGTATGCAAATATTAGAGATCTTGATTACTACTTCATGGTATCTGAGTTCTCTCATGCCATAGCTAGCTTGGCTCCGTTTGGCTCACAACAACATCACGTTGATTTGGGCTGATGTCGTCTGGTTCACGGTGACTCATTTGAAACTAATACGATAATTGTTTCACTACTGTCTGACGTTGGCATTCACTGAGCTATAGCAAAGTTCTGCTTTGTTGTTAATACAGTAGAAATAGTATAGTTTTGAGTATTTATAGCAGGTCGGAGTGAACACGAAGACCTTAGAGGATCGATTCCGTGCCGTTCGCAGCAACACGACCTGACTAATGGAACGATTTGGCGCATTTTACGTGGAGATCTTATATAAATACAAATTACAGCTTTTACAAGAACTGAAGCAGCTCGGCCTTCCCAAGCGACATCACTTCGCTCTATGGGCTCTTGAATAGTTCCAAGAAGAACCGACGTTTTCAAGCCATATTTTGTTCAGCGATGAGACCAACTTTTGGCTCAATAGGTATAGTATTGGCGGCTAACATTTAAAATAGGTAACCTTCAAACACTAAATGCCACAGAATGTTCTTTCGAATGATAATAAACATTCCCCATTAAATTTGAAGTTTCTGTGTTTTTTTTTTTTAAAATTTGGTAACCTCGAAATTTTTATAAAAGCCATTTTGGCTTACTTGGTGTTAAGAGGTTCTAATTGATTTTAGTGATTAAGAAGGCATTTTCGTATGCGCAGTTTTGTCCCCAAAATATTTGTCATGGTAATGTAAATTTATGATTTACCCTTCGGAAGCAATGTCAGAATAGAATTGTTTTGATTTTTTGTGTAAACAATTTCAATTGCTTAAATATCTGTAAAATATTCATTTTTTATGTTGGTAACACCAATCAAACTTCGACTTGCAATACCTAAGAAGAAGTTTGGTTAATCTGAAGTTCAATTTAATTGAGTGAAGTTTAAAGCTGTTATAACAGGTAAAGGACGATATTAATTGGTACAAATAGTCGAGACTATGTAACTAAGTTCTTAAAACTTACAAATTGCTTTCGGGTTTCCGTCCTTAGCACAGCATACCTTCTTAATTGAGAATGAATTGCCGATGATTAAACTTTAGCTATCACCACCACCGCCCTTACTCTTTTGATTAACGGCATAAATGCTTCATAAATTTTCAATGTGCACAGTCAGAATCCAAGGCAAACACACACTAACAATTCGACAAGGAGTTGTAACCTCCCTAAGTTTGTAAAAAAATCAATAAATTCTCACTTCAAGCACGGCTGCGGCGGAACCGAGACAATCAATACTTGCGATTTACACACTTTTAACTTCCAGCCAGRCAATTAATCATCATTTCAGCCACCAGACGTATGTTCACATATGTTCGCGCAGCAGTGGGCCGACAATAGACGTTGGCGATCCACAAAGTAGAAGTGGGAGCTCCAAATGCGAGATTGACTCTCGATATGTAGGTATGTAAGCAATAGTTGCTGCTGTGGGCGCTGAAGGGCTCAGCTATGTATGTAACAATGGGTGACCAGTTAGTGAGAGGCTCAACAGCGAGTCGATGCACTCTGGAAAACTATGGATTTGTTGTACCATATGTGTGTTCTACGTGTGTGTGTGTGCGTATAATCGTTTATAATTGCGTCAGTGGAAAAAATATTTGTTGTAGCAGCGGATAACGGTAGCGCGTAGTAAATTAATTCACCACTTTTACCTGCAAAAGCTTCATAAAAGCAATCAATTAAAATGCTTCGATAAAAATCTGCAGCAACACAGCCGCATACATACAAGCAGAAACGTTTAAACTGTGCATGAGCGAAGCCAGACTTACTTGCAGGCGGATAACAGTATATACGTTCATGTCTATATACATATTCATGTGTGGCAAGGGCATAAAAGCACCTACGCCAGTGACGGAAGGACCAAATTGCTGCAAAACGGCGGCAATATAAATGTCAGCGCATAAAGCATATGTATTCAGAGTATACATACACACATACATATGCATGCACATATGAGAGTAGGTAGCGGTGCATAACGTGTTCATTGCGGTTGAGGTGACAAAGACCGGCGACTTTTGGGCGAAACTGCTGTAAATAATGTTTCAAAAATGCTGCACGGTTGGAAAAAATTCAATCGAATGAACTTGTAAAGCATAAAAATATAAAAAGAAACAATAAATAATTATGAGCAAACAGAAATTGCGCAGCTGCATTCCCTGGTTCTAACTGCTATGACGTCATATTTCATATTTTTTTTTGCGCTGGCTTATCGCCTCAATTCCATCTAGCCCATAATAATGGTGCTTTACAGTTAGTGTATGCACACAAACACACCTCCCTATGCAGAGCTGTGTGCAAGCCCTTTGGCAGCGAAAATGAACAAACAAATATTGACCAACTTGCATGTTGCACTAAACAAGTGTAATTATGCTAAGTAAAACGGCTTGACGCTACTGCAGCTTTGCATATAAAACGGCAAGCAATATACACACAAACATACATACATACATACATACAAAAAGCCGTTATTGTCGCGTCAAAAGCGACTATGTAAATTACTTCTATCCCCCCACAACCCCTTATCTCCACTAGCGTTATTACTCATTTGTAACTAAATCTGCATTTTTGTATGTGCATGAGTGTGTGTGTGTGTTAGTGCGGCGCGGGTCAGCGAAAGGTCGCACACGTCACGCAGCCGCCGATTACACAAATATGCCACAATTAAATACCAGCGAGGTATTTGAAGCGCAAAAATGTGGTTAGCCATAGGCGTATGGGCAGGAGCAAGCACAAGCCACGCACACATACGCACACATTTACGGATACATATGCTATTTATGTAAATGCGCGCACGAAAGCATGCAAAAATTTGTTTATTTGCGTTCTGATGACAGATATGCTCGCGATTTCGATAAGCACACATGCGAATATTTATGTGTGTTTGTTTGTTGGAGAGTGCGGTAGACTTGCACGGACCGTGCGTGCGTAAGCGGTGCAACCCTGTATGTGTAATTGCATTCACATGCATGCAACGGTAGATAAAAAGAGTTGTAGCAACTGCAAGCCAATGGCTGCATGGTCGATAATTAAAATATTTTCGCTTAAATGAGTCATAATAAAAGTAAATACACACACATGTATGTATCTTAGCGTTGCACGTGAATACATATGTTTGTATATATGTATGTATACAAAGTAACGGTTTCATGAACATACTAAGTAGGTGTAGACAGTATTTTGCTTATGCCATACATAAGTCAACTCCTTTTCTTTTCTCCCCAAGAAATCTCTAATTTTTAGGAACCACTATATCATATAAATATCTGCTATACAAAGATCAAAATTATGTTTTTGTGTGAACACTTCTATAGTTATGAAGAGTGTTGCTGTATATTCATATTGAACTAAAACTAGAAACTACAGAGCTATTTATGAACTTATGAAGGTCGACACATGCAAATAAATACCTTTTAATTTGTATCACACCCCCATATACTATCTATTAAGGGGGTATTTCTCTGTAATATGATACATAATGGTTTCAAACAATTATTAACAATTCTAAATCAGCCACAAGATTTGGCTTGCTCGTTACATTTAATTGAGACATCCAATAAATTAGTGTTGCGATTTTTTTCTTATTCCTCAAACTGAATTATCCAGGTGTTTGCCCTAAAATTGAGTTACACTTGTTTTTGAACAACTATTTTTATTCTCATTTTCACTGAACTTTATAATTGTTATGTACGCAACTGTAAATATGAAAATTATTAAATCTAACAAAACTAACTATAAATGCAAATAAAAAGGTATTACTAAAACAAATGTTTCTATGCAAAGTACAAACACACATGAAGTTGCATTTCTAATCACTGCCATGCAAAAGGCGATTTCCGTTTCTAGTTAGAACTTCTACGACTCTTTTGTTGGCAAATAAATGTATGTGGAAAATGCAAATCTGAAGTATTGTAAGTATATAAAGTATGAATATTGTAATATGTGAAAAGCGCATAAAACGAAATGGAAGAAAAGCGAACACCACTTGGACGTTCAGTGATTAATGCTGCCTTTTTTGCGATAAGAAGAAAAAATTTGTGTGGGTTATATTTAAGGGGTTATATACAGTTAGAATTTTTATTTTTCTATTTTCTCAATGTACATATATTTAAGAATACACACGGAAACTTCATATCGTACAGGTCAGAGTTTTCGAAGTTACACGTAAATTTGAAAAAGTGCTTCAGAGCGCTTGGAAGTGCATTCTAAACTTCAAATGCGTTTTTCTCAAAATGCTGTTCTCAAAGTAGTTGACCCACACTCGAAAACGGCTAAACCGATTAGTCTCAAATTTTAACACGAATTTTTTTTTAAATATATTATTTAGTAACTAAACGAAGATTTTTTCTCACTGATAAATATTGTTTTTTTTTTTTTAAC